AAACAGCTAAATGGTGGGTCGACACTCTCAATATAATAGGAAAGGAAGTTCACTTACTATCAATCCCTAGGGAACAGCAACAGTTTAAATTTAAAGGAAAACATTAAAACTTATCAAAAACTCTCGCCGTTCTTGAAAAAAGGTTGAAAAAGTGATAACAGAAGGTATGCAGCCTTCTACTTCACTTAAAAAACTTCAAGAAACCAGTATCCAAGATCAAAACCGGGCAAAACTAGCCATCCAAAAGTTTGCAAAACTGGAACATTTGAGAAAGAGTCAGAAAATAAATGATCTCTTACCCAAAAATGAGGGTCAAGACTTTCATTTCCTAATACAACAAGGACAAGGAAAGCAACATGGAAAAATGGATAATGCACCATGTTTTAATGAACAAGAAATATTAGTAACCTCTGATGAGGATATACCAAAAGCTAGAGCTGAATATTCAGCAAAACTGGCCTCCGACCCAACAGGGATCTCCACTGATCCCACTAAATGGACTCATGTATAGCCAAAAGAGGCTAAACGTAAGCAACCATCTGACAGTGATTTATTTAACTCCATTGATGAAGAAGACTCTGATGTCTCTGATATTGATGAAGAAATCACTCTCACTATGCCTGAATTTCTAATGGCAATCATGCAAACCCAGAGGAATGCCACTCCTGGAAAGAGTGGTGTCTTGGCTATGCATTTAAATAAATTCTTAGAGATAGAATGCCAGTTACAAATAAGTCAAGATTGGGAGAGCACCAAAAAATTGTAAAACTCCTTTTGCAATGCTTTTGGATTACTCCACTGTAGCACTAGATTGCTGGACCTCTCAAATATTTATTGAATATTATGAGAGCATGTCTTAGGTTAAAAACTCAACCAAAAATATGGAATGAAGAAGTATTGGTAACACTACCAAAACCAGGACAAGATCAAAGATGGCTGAAGAATACCAGAGTAATCACCCTTTCATGTACTGAAGGGAAACTTCTCCTCACCATATTGTCAACTAAAATCTCTAAAAAATTAGAAAAAGAGAATTTCTTTTCAAAAGCCCAAGCAGGCTTCATAAAAGTCCAAGAGGCAGTTGCACATGCTGCAAGAATCAGTGAGATACTGAAAAAATGAATTAATAATAATCAAAATACATTTCCCATTTATGTTGACTTCAAAAAGGCATTTGATAGAGTCCCACAAGAAGGAATATGGGCTAAACTCAGAAATATCGGAATACACAATAACTTAGTAGAGCTAATAAAGAAAAGATATGACTCCTCCAAGATACATTGCAGAATTTGAGATCAACTATCAGATTCATTTACTAGGGGGATTGGGACCTGCCAAGGTTGCCTCCTATTTATCATTTTTGTAAATGATTTATTCAGGGAGGTTAGGGCATTGAGGTCCAGGGTTATATCTAAAATTTCCTAGGCTCCTATTTTCAGATGATACTCTTCTCTTTGCTGAAACCTTATAGGAGATTGAGTATATACTAAAAAAGCTAGAAATCTATTGTGCTAGATGGAATTTTGCACTAGGTTATGAGAAATGTGGCATTATTA